ATTTTCCGGTCTTTTGTCTGAGTTGTTCTTCGCATATTGATTCAATGTTGCAGGCATTTGAGGTACACTCATACTGGTAAAACTGCAGAGCAAGCTGCAGCTCTCGAACTCCTCGACATTGATGGGATGGATGACGACTCGGAGTAGTCGCTGGCTCGTTCTCAATAGATATCTCATTGTTGATAGTTTCATATGACGGTATTATGGTTGCGAACATATACTACCTATTAGATACCCTTCTTTAATCAAAAGACTATTTTTTCGTGTAACATTCAGTGTGATTGTATGATCTGAGCCAGCAAACTCAGATATATCTACCCAAATGTAAAGACAATAGCACAGAAATTGTTCACAATACCTTCTGATTATCGAGGATTATCAATGGATTATCAAGGGGTAACATAATCCATCTAATTTTCTAAAACAGCTAATTATCGGGAATTTCACCAATTATCAGGAATTACCAGAATTACCAGCAATTAGTTGGAATTAGGGCGGGAGGGTTTTCCTGATGCACGTTTTTCAGATTCCCATCCGGAGGCGGTATTCTCTTGCCCGACGGGTCTTTGTCCCAACTCCTTTACTTGTACGACCTCGATGGTATCCTTACGAAATCTGGACCTCTTGGCGTGCCGTGGCACCCCAAGAAGCGCCAAGACTTCGCTTTCTTGTTCACCTACTTGGGACTGTTATGGGACTTGATTCACCGCTCGGTTGCCCTACCCGACGCGAAACGCCAGAAATACTTGGCGAAGATCGCAGCTATTCTGTCGGCCCTCTCGGCTGCACGCCCTATGTCATACAAGGACGCCATGAGTATTAATGGTACCCTGTCCCATGTCACTTTCGTCATACCTCGCAGCAGGTCCTACTTGTCGAACCTCGCGCACTTTATCTCACAATTCCCGTCACGCTTCGCGTCGAGACGCCCACCCCCTTCGGTCGTCAACGACTTGAAGTGGTGGTTCAACATCTTATCCACTCCTCCTCCTCCACGACCATTGAAAGCGAGGGGAACGCCGCAGGACATCGACCTTTGGGTTGATGCCTCGACGAACGGGTAATCGTCCATTCGGACAACCAGGGAGCCATTGGCGCTTTTCAGCGCGGGAGAAGTAGAAATTTTCACGTTAACCTTAGCATTAGACGCGTCGAAACGATCACGATCGCCTCCAACGTACTTCACATCCTCGATTACACAGAATCAGCCAACAACAGGGTGGATCTGATCTCACGCGGCGAGATCGACCCGCGCCTGGGCAAACTTCCCAGCTTACAGCTCCCTTCCGAGCTCACACCATTCTTGTTGCCTCATGTCGGTTAACCACACCTCCCCTGCGTTGGCAAGTGTCGACGCTACGACGTCATTGGCCCGTTTGCGGGATGCTCTCAAACAGCAACCGCATTTCGGGGCGCCGCCCAATGTCACTCGTAAAACACCTAGGCCCCGGAAGCCTAGGCCAGTAAATTCAATTGTTCACTCAATCTTTCGCCCTCATGTCCTCGCTCGGGATCGCATTATTTTTTGGACGTCACCACACACAGACTCTTTTCGTAGCGCAGCTATCAATGAACTTCCTATTGGCGCAGTTATCCAACTCTTTAACGGTCTCCTCGCTTCTGTAGAACCCAAAACGCGCGAGAATCATGGCGCTGGTTTACTTCGTTTTCATCAATTTTGCGACGCGAACAACATCTCAGAACAGAGTCGCATGCCAGCTTCAGAACTTCTTATTTCTTCTTTCATCGCTTCCTGGATAGGAAAAGTCGCAGTTACAACAGCAGACAATTGGTTAGCCGGTTCGTTATGGCTTGTTCTTTGAACGACGAGCACAATCTACCAGACACGCTCTACCAGGACTACGTTTTTGGCATGATTTCCACGGAGCGCAATGGAATGGACAACACCTTCTAAGGCGGACAAAAACTGCTCTTTCAAAACACGTCCCCGAGTCTTCAACAATGATAACCGCGAAGGAAATCCAAAAGATGAGTAAAACATCTTCAGCAACTTTGTTTGCAGCGAGAGCTGACATAGGTTGTGCGGATGTTTCTTTCGTCAACGTTCATCATCAATTCGTCGTGACCGGTTCATCTTATAGTACTGTACCACCGGTGACTCTGTTTTACAGATAATTGATGTTCCGTTTAATGCCCGACTTGCAGTAAGTTGCTATTTTCTTTCCTCAATGAGCTGGCGAGGTGCTCGCTATTTATATGTAGTACATGGGACCTGAGAGCGCCCGCTACCAGCAGCCACACCCGTAGTGTAATCAAAATCATGCATCATTCTTCAACTGGACGACTCAAACCACGGATTCGCGTCTGCATACCGCATTGCACCTGTTCGTTGGTGATCGACGCTTTGACTTAGCACATATAGGGACTTGCAAGCACTCCGTCAATTCATGGGTCCCGAAGCTCAGCGTACGTTTATGTGATCTACCAATTGAATCATCTAGGTTCATCTCCACAGGGCCCGAGTATCATTCATATGTCATCGTGATCTGGTACGTCTTCACTCAGCTGATGAGCTATCTTGGTGAGGTTCTTGAGAGCTATATGCGGCACCTCACCAGCCAGTGTTACGTCATCGTTCCCCAACCCTTACGTTCGATGTTCTCCAGGCGCGCGGTACTGATGCACTTTAATCAACAAGGAGCAACACGATTTTTGCAAAAAACCTTACAAGCAAGGTTAGTATTGCATATCCTTGCTTGCCGGGGGTTCGCGGGCGCTCATCGCTCGAAGTCTGATTGAGACCGATGATTCGGAGCCGCCTGGCCTCTTCAATAGCACCCAACAATCAACATCAGTGCGACTCCCAACAGAGCCACTTCTTGTCTCATTTTGTAGCACTGATGTCAAACGGCAATCATGCCAACTCCACTCTCAAGCTTCTGTTCTTGAGGCGCCCGAAGCTCTTCTTCCTCACTTAGTAGCCCTCTCTTGGGGTAGCTGGGGGCTGAAGAGTGGAGCGGGCGCCAGCTGCGTTCAATGTTGATACTAGTAACAGGCTGCCAATCGGTTGAAGAAAATTGCAGGGTCGAGGCTTGAAGGTATGTCCGCTCCAGCTTCGTCTAGCTCTATAAAGTCGGTGACGCGATCTAAGATGTTGGGCTGGTCCGAGCGTTAGCTCGGGTTGGGACGCAAGCAAGGTGGAGCCGCTGGGAGGGCGGGAACCTGCTTACGAATTCGATCGCGCACAAACTCTTAAGCAATGTTGGCTACTAAAGCTAAGGGATGGCCTTAGCCAGATTAAACATGAGTTATTCTATGCTGACAATGAACTATAAACTCTGCGATAACACTTGAGGGAGGGATGGGTGGGTGCAACGAAACGATGATATAACGAGTGAATGTGATGTATACCGAATTCGATGTCGGTAGTAGGTCGAAAAAACGAATGAGAGGAAAACGGCAGCAGCGCTCGGCTGGAAGTGTGGTGCCGGGAATCTCCGGCAAGCTATGATTCCCAGCACCTTACAATCCAGCTTTGTCTAGCTCTATAAAGTCGGTGACGCGATCTAAGATGTTGGGCTGGTCCGAGCGTTAGCTCGGGTTGGGACGCAAGCAAGGTGGAGCCGCTCACCCAGCACGCTGGAACGCCCGCGGCTCTAGCTGCTCAGCCCAACAACGAGTGGAGGCGACCCTATCGAGACGATGCGTTGGCGAGGTGCTGCGACGATATTTGCTCGAACGCACGAATGTAGGTCTCGTAAGCGAGAGATTTCCAACGCCCCGCTATTCGCACTATTTCGGGGTCGACTTTTTTTGCTAAGTAGAATGAAGCACCTCCAATGCGAAACGAATGGCCAAATGAAGTCCCCCAACCCCATTCTATTAAGATTGAATTTATTCGCTCCATGGCTCGGGCCTTCACCATGGGGCGAATATCGCCTTTGGAATCACGCCATGAAAACAGGGGGTCCACACCCAGTGCTGGCACCACATTGGCGAGGTTGCGAAGGGCAGCAAGAGGACACAAGTCCCCTTGCTCGTTGAGAAATACTGACTGAGTTTCCCCAGCTCGAGCTGTTTTTGCAGAGGGGAGGTCCAGACGTGCGTACGGGCTTCCTCGCAAGTCCGTGCTGAAGAAGGCATCTGCTCTCGAAAGGTGTTTCGAAGGAGAGAAGGCTGCACGTGAGGTTACTGACACTTCACCAAAACGCATCATGCCGAAGAAAGCACATGATGCCATTGCCCACACACAGGCGTCGAACGGGTCTGAAAGGGTGAGGGTAGCTTTGAGTGCTGTTAGCATTGGTAGTGTGATGGGTGGTCGGAGGGGTTTACGACGGCTGCTCTGCAGGTTCTCGAGGCCTCGCAAAGACCAGTTGATGCGGCTGTGGTGTGCATCCGAAAGCGGGGGTTGCCAGCCTTGGGCTATGTGCCAAGCACGCACTGCTGACAGATACTTTTGTGCCACGCTAACTGATATTGGCTCGAATGGGGTGTTGCTGGATATAGATAAAATGGAGTCGCCAGGACTAGGGTCCGTGACAGCCCACAACGCGAAGGAGTGAAGAAGTTCGAATGAGGCCGGGAGCCGGTCTGATTCAGAAATCGAGAATATGTCGCAAAATAGATGAAATTTTCGAAGACCGGCCCCATAGGAACCTGTGTCCCTGAGGGACGCTCGATTAGCCATGCTGGCAATATGGGATATTACTGGGTTGGTTATCGTTGACGCTGGAGGATAGTTCACTCCTCGCCAGAGGAAAATTCGCTCGGATGCCTTACAAGGTGGGCGGAGGGAGGACGGTTCAAGCTCCAGTGTCGCGGATGGACCCAGGGGTATATTAGAAAGGTGGTTACTTGGAGGGGATATCTGCAGTGTCATGATGACCACGGGATTAGTTTGCCAGCGAGGTGGGGTGGCAATGGAATAGAGACTGGGCTCGAAGCTCCAGGAAATCCGGCCTTGAAGGCTGGAATATCTCCGCGAGACGGAGCGTCTGCAATGTTGCCACGGGAGGGGACATAAATGGCCTGCAGACGCACACAACACTCTGCCTGCATACGGTAGAGGTGCTTCAGGACAGCATTTGTCTCTGAACTGCGCGAACGTCCTTTGTTGGTTACGGTCACCACACCCATATTGTCCGAGCGTACGACGTAGCACCGATTTGATGGGGTAGCTGCGGAAATTATGCCTTGGACAACGATTAGGAGAGTCATACCAGAGAGGTGCGGAAAATGTAAATACCCAAATGAAGGGCAACTCGAAACCCTAGCTCGATGGCCACAGCCTCTGCCCAACCGATATTGAAGGCACGCGAAGGCCCGACTTTGAAACCTGGTGCCCAGCGCCAAATAGCCCAGTGGCCCTGAACGACAACACCAATCCCAAACGATGTGCTTGCGTCGCCCCACCATCCGACGTCTAGTGGGGAGGGTGCAGCTAATGGGATGCGGTTCGGAAGGTGCGACAGTAGGAGCTGAATCCAGGGGAGATCTGCAGCTACAGCTGCTGATGGTCGAAGGTGTGCTCGGGCTGAGCGGTAACCCGCTGCGAACACTGCTACAGAACGAAGAAAAGGCCGGACTAGGGGGAAAATGCACGCGACATGCACTAATTTGCTGTGCAGGCCAGCGGCCTCCTTCGCCGTGAATGATGCACCGGCCAGCTGCCAGCTGGCAATTAACTGTTGTATCTTGTGGAGTTTCTCGACTGGAAGCGAAACCATCTTGCCCTCGAGATCCCAGTCGAAACCAATGTATCTTTGAATTGCCGTGAAACGACGCAGTTTCTCGAGGCTCCATGGCACGCCACAAACACTTGTCACAGCCATGAACTCGGCCTCGGACCACGATTGATGGGGTAGCCTGATGACAAGAAAATCGTCTACCCACTTGCGGATCAATTCGAAACCTGCCTTGCCATAGATTGCAACGAGCATGTCTGCGACCGATCCAAAGACGCCTGCGCTGGACGTGAGGCCAAACATGAGGGCACGGTCGACATATACAATGCCTTTCCAATATACGCAAAGGGAATTTTGCTGTGCGGGTGAAACAGGTATAATGCGGTATGCAGATGAAACATCGAAAGTTGCAGCAACGCAGCCGGGGGGTAGGGATAGAATGAGAGCAGCTGTCTCGTCGAAGGTGCCCCAGACTGTTGGAAAGTCGTCTGCATCGATTCCAGCGTTGACGGAATAAATATCAGAGAGATTGCGAGGATAGGAAAGGTCTTGCACGATGCGAAATTTGTTTGAGCCCGGTTTTGGGACCAGACCCAGCGGAGATGAATGAAAAGGGCCAATTAAAAGCTCTAGGTCTGAAGGACAGAAGCCGATAGAGTATCTGCCAGCTTCTTGTTCGGAGAGAATGTACGAGTCGATTATTGAGGGATTGAGTAAGGAAGAGGTATGGTTTTCGAAATAAATAAGTTTCAGAAGGTGGTTCGGCTATGCCGACATTAAAACCATTGCGGATACCGTTTACTATGTGCTGCCAGTCATTGAATATACCATATTTACGAAGGAGTTCCTCGACTCACGTAGCGTCGAGGGGAGTAACCACAATGCGAGGATCAAGCACGGGCTTTACAGCCACCGGCTCCGTGGGAGGAGTCTCCGCACACGCTGCAAGAGTGAACATTCTTGCATCCACTACCGAAGGTGCAGTTTGAGCTGCTCGCCCAATTGAAACAGAAATGCTTTCCGTTACCTGCTGCGAGAGCGTGTTTGCTCCGCGCGCCAGTGGCAAGGGAGGCAACCGGTTTTCCTGCAACTGTGGTGTCGGCAGTGCAGTCTGCGGGCAAGTGACCAGGTGCCCCACACCGAAAGCAATGGCTCAAATTGACTGTGTGGGATTTCTTGCGGGGAGACGTCACAAAGTCACTCGGAGCTGAACGTTTGTTTGAGGGTGCGGATTGTACAGCGGGCAGTAAGGCAGAAGCAACTTTATTGTTGGCTAGGGTAAGAGCTGCTATATCAAGGCCCGCCAAGTTGTGCTCGTGATTCGCATGCGCTAACTCGCGTTGCTGCACATCATAATGCATTGCGACAGACCACCCGTACGTTCGCCCGATATCGAGGACAACTAAATGGTGGGACACTAGGGCTGATTCCCTGTCCGCTCCCCAATAATGCAAAGTTCTTTCCTCGGCTGCTTTCGATGCAGCAATCCAATCCACCGTAGATATTGATATTTCGTTCGATCGGTCGAGACCCTTGGCAGTGAGTCCATCCTGAGTGAAAACAAAGGACGACTCCTCCCCACGAAGGTATGCTTTTGAGCGCGCAGCGTGGGTGAGGGCCGTGTAAGGCACATAACGATAAGACTTGAATGCCTCCTCCACCTTGGGAGGAATGGCTGAAATACGGCAAGTCAGAAAAAACGAATTATATGTGCGAGAGACGGTAAACGGATAGACGGTGGCACCCGAGTAACGGAACGGTGCGGAAACACGGTGCCATAAGCACCCACCATAGTGGGTGCCATGATTAACAGGTTCGGTAGGGAACGGGGCACGGTGACGGTGGTCGATATCGCGCGAAAAGGTATCGTAGACTCACGCAAACTTAGGGCGCTCACTTTGTGCCCGGGGCGAAGCTCAGGCAGAGTCACCTTCTTGGATTCTTCTTTCATGCTAGCCAGGTTCGCACGAACTCGCTCAACCTCCGCGGGATCAGCTATTAAGTCTTGACGAGGGATTGTGGCTCTGGCCGGTAGTTGGTTGCCTTGAGTAACACCTCATTCAAGCTCAGCGATCCTTGCCCTTAGTGCAGCAATTTCGTCTGCAGGGGCAGCAGCTGGGGGTTGCTGGTTCTGCGGTGCCGCTGGCGGTTGCCCTTGCACAGCTTGCTGCTGCGCAGGATGATGAATAGCCTGCTGTTGTTGCGATTGTTGCTGAGGTACTTGTGGCTGAGGTTGCTGAACCGAGCTCTGGTGACCTCGAGTGCTGTTGTTGGTAGAAGGCCCTGCAGCTGAAGAGCTTGCTGCTGCGGGGGGATGCGATCTCGCAGCTGGTGGACCCGCTGGCTGGCTTGCTCCCGAAGAAGCAGCGTTCTGGGTGGCGGGAGGAGTAGGAGGCATATTTGACGAACCGCCTAGGACGAGACCGAGATGTTCATGCATAGTTTTAGAGGTAATGAAACAACGAAATGATGATATAACGAGTGAATGTGATGTATACCGAATTCGATGTCGGTAGTAGGTCGAAAAAACGAATGAGAGGAAAACGGCAGCAGCGCTCGGCTGGAAGTGTGGTGCCGGGAATCTCCGGCAAGCTATGATTCCCGGCACCTTACAACACTATCTTCGCTTCCTGTTCGGGTCCACCGATCCTTGCCCTCGATCAGTGTTTTTTCAAGTTCCTGATACGCTGCTACTTATTACAGGTTTTGTGTATCTTTCGAATACAACTCGTTCACGTATGATTTGATTTTGCATCATGTCTTTCGAGCTTGCATTTATGTGCACACTAACGCCGACGGACTTGCGTGGACGAGATATCTCACTGGCGTGATGGCTTCGACAGATGGCTGTTAAGGAGAATCATCTACCGCGGTGGTTAATGTCCTTCTGATGTTACACCCGAGATCAAGGACAGAGGTGAAGATTGCGTACATCATTGCCTCAATGTCAGTGCTTAACATGCAAGTGTCACACGTTTGTTCTACAGTATGTAGACTGCCCTAGATAGCAGACTTTTTTTTGGTGGGAGGTCTAGCCACGAGAATTGAGATTCATTGCTGGTATGATGGCCCTTCATGTAGATCAGATCACTGATCTAATCCGCACGAGGGACGTTCAAATTCATTTCTATACTATGGCGCTGCGCAGGAGAACTCGGCAACCGGTATGTTCCGTTCCATCCCCATCAATTACCATCAACTAGACCCTGTCATTCTTTACGGAATTAATACTTTGTTCCAACTTTGACGTATGCTCACTCCAGCGATGAGCTAGGGTGGAAATGGACACATGGTTGGTCATAGATGCTTGCGTACGAAGGATTGGGACTCACCGTTATTGAAAGATATGGACTATCATATACATATATCCGCTGCTGCCATTGGTCAGCATTATGACCAGTCCGCCGTTTGTTTATTTGCCATGATGATATTGACGGAGAGACCGACGGGGCGATTCATGGGACTAGATGTTTGTCGCGCTGACATTTCTATCTGACTATCGACTGACGTGTTAGACATTGCCCGAGCATCAAGGGAACGGTGGGTTGCGAGATAGGGTAGAACTTAGTGACATTTGTCTCTGGGCCAGAATGGGAATCGTAGGGATACTAGGGCAGGGAGGTTGGCAGCTAGGCTAGGACGGAAGGGAGTGGGTGAATCTGGTGTCGAGACCTGTCGAGTTACTTTATTGGCCTGAAATATGTATAGGACGGAAGGGAGTGGGTGAATCTGGTGTCGAGACCTGTCGAGTCACTTTATTGGCCTGAAATACGTAGTAGGCTGCATAACGAACTTACTGTTGCCAAGCTTCTCGAATTTAATCCACATCAGAGTACTAGCTAGGCCAGCCTATAGCGGAGACCCATTCAATTGCTCAACCTCAACCACGCTGACTGCCTACAATATCAATATCTAGTAACATGCTCTCTGCTCCTCGACATTCAGCGTTTGGTACTCCTTGCTTTTCCAGTACGGACAGACCCTTCAGTCATTTCCAACGTAGAACCCTGGCTCCGGACATGCAAAAAGGCTGTAGAATCCATGCCAGCCAGTCACCGGCCGGTGGACATAGGATCACTGCTGGCCAGTCTGTCTAGGAATTCCAGTAATAGCATTGATAAGCATATTGCAATTCACTGTATGACATGCAGAACCTGTGATGGCCACATTGTATAGTATATTAGTACAGGATGAGCTTATTGTGTAGTATTGGATCAGGCCAGCCTAACATTTACAGAGGGTGATATTAGGGTGGCCATTCAGTCAATATCCTACTTGCATATGTAATATGTTGATTTGCTAATCTATATATCTACCTATGACTATAGATAATGCTCGGCCTGTATGTCCTGAGGTGACATAGAAGGGTAATGGCCAGGGCTCAAGGTCTGGTCATATATGCTGCCTACCAATATATGCCACTACAAATAACTTAGGGTGTCTACATAGCCTACCAATCAGACTGGCCATTCTTTGTACTATGAATTAACTGATCTGGCCAGCTTGTCTATAGGCCATGTGGAGCAATAAAGGCCAGTGTTTGGTGTATCAAAAAATTATTGGGCCATGGCTATGTGGCCTAAGAGCCTGGCTGGCCATTCTGTGTAGAGAATTATTAGCCGTGGCCGACATGTTTATGGCCCATGTAGGAGGATGGTGGCCAGGATGTTATAAATCTAAAGGTGGCATGGCCAGCATGGGCTTTACATAGGCTACAGACCAGACAGGCCATTCAGTGTACTATATAATAGACTTACCTGGCCAGTTTGCCCATGCCACCTTTAGATCTATAACCCCCTGGCCACCATCCCTCTATGTGGGCCATAGACAAGTCGGCCATGGCTAATAATTTTCTACACTAATGAAGGTAGTCTATGATATGGTACATTGTATGGCCAGTCTTGTCTGTAGGCTATGTAAAACCCATGCTGGCCATGCCACCTTTAGATTTATAACATCCCGGCCACCATCCTTCTATGTGGGCCATAGACAAGTCGGCCATGGCTAATAATTTTCCACACTAATCAAGGTAGTCTATTATATGGTACATTGTATGGCCAGTCTTGTCTGTAGGCTATGTAAAACCCATGCTGGCCATGCCACCTTTAGATTTATAACATCCCGGCCACCATCCTCCTACATGGGCCATAAACATGTCGGCCATGGCTAATAATTTTCTACACTAATCAAGGTAGTCTATTATATGGTACATTGTATGGCCAGTCTTGTCTGTAGGCTATGTAAAACCCATGCTGGCCATGCCACCTTTAGATTTATAACATCCCGGCCACCATCCTTCTATGTGGGCCATAGACAAGTCGGCCATGGCTCATAATTTTCTACACCAAATAAGGTAGTCTACTATGGTACATTGTATGGCCAGTCTTGTTTGTAGGCTGTGTAAACACCATGCTGGCCATGCCACCTTTAAATTTATCGCATCCTGGCCGCCACTCTCCTACATGGGCCATAGACAAGTTGGCCATGGCTCATAATTTTCTACACTAAATAAGGTAGTCTATTCTATGGTACATTGTATGGCCAGCATCAATGTTACATGAACAGACTTCAGTGACAAGTTGGCCAGGTCTAATAATTTTCTACACTCAATAAGGTAGTCTTTTCTATGGTACATTGTATGGCCAGTCTTGTCTGTAGGCTATGTAAAGCCCATGCTGGCCATGCCACCTTTAGATTTATAACATCCCGGCCACCATCCTCCTACGTGGGCCATAGACAAGTTGGCCATGGCTAATAATTTTCTACACTCAATAAGGTAGTCTACTATGGTACATTGTATGGCCAGTCTTGTTTGTAGGCTGTGTAAACACCATGCTGGCCATGCCACCTTTAAATTTATCGCATCCTGGCCGCCACTCTCCTACATGGGCCATAGACAAGTTGGCCATGGCTCATAATTTTCTACACCAAATAAGGTAGTCTTTTCTATGGTACATTGTATGGCCAGTCTTGTCTGTAGGCTAGGTAAAGCCCATGCTGGCCATGCCACATTTAAATTTATCACACATTGGCCGCCAGCCTTCTAGCTGGTGCAAAGTCATGTTGGCCAGGTCTAAGAATTTTCTACACTCAATAAGGTAGTCTTTTCTATGGTACATTGTATGGCCAGTCTTGTCTGTAGGCTAGGTAAAACCCATGCTGGCCATGCCACCTTTAAATTTATCACACATTGGCTGCCAGCCTTCTATGTGGGCAATAGGCAAGTCGGCCATGGCTAATACATAGCCAAGGTGCTGGCCAGGCCACCTATCATGTTGCCATTCCTGTCTTAAGACAAAGTATGATACCTAAGAGGATAAAGACCAGTGTATTATGAATTTAACAGCTCTGAAGACAATACACAAATATTTGACTACAGAATATTCTTCCTAGAGGGTTGCCTAGATCTGGTAGACCGACGAACTGGTTCATCTTCAATCCTGGCCTTCTTAATCTTCACTGAGGAAGTCTGGTTTCTCACCCTTTTCTTCCCTTTGGATTTGCCTGCCTCCTGTTCCTGCTCGTCGTCCTTCTCCACCTCCTGCATCTCCAGATCTGGATCTCCTGTCACCTCCTCCTGCTCATCTTCCTCTTCCTCTTCCTCTTCCTCTTCCTCTTCCTCTTCCTCTTCCTCTTCCTCTTCCTCTTCCTCTTCCTCTTCCTCTTCCTCTTCCTCTTCCTCTTCCTCTTCCTCTTCCTCTTCCTCTTCCTCTTCCTCTTCCTCTTCCTCTTCCTCTTCCTCTTCCTCTTCCTCTTCCTCTTCCTCTTCCTCTTCCTCTTCCTCTTCCTCTTCCTCTTCCTCTTCCTCGTCCTCTTCCTCTTCCTCGTCCTCGTCCTCTTCCTCATCCTCGTCCTCGTCCTCATCCTCACCATCAACTCCCCCCATCTCCTCCTGGTCATTGACATCAAAAGGAGCATTGGGTTCAAAGTCAGTGGATTTAGCCTTCATCGCCAACTCAATGAGGCCTACAACAATGGTTGCAGTGTCCTTGATTGCGCTGTCCACCTTGATCATACATTGGAGGTCCATGATTGAACCAGCCAAGTAGAGGGGGGGTACCAGGTAGGGCCTCGTCTTCTTCATACTCAATGACTCGTTTGCAGTCTCTCAAAATCAAACCCAGGCCCAAGACCACTAGGGCAGCTGAGTTCGAAGACCGAATTGAGGCCTTTGTCAATAGCTCCAAGCTGGCCATCACCATGTCCTGTGAGCCGTGCAGATACTCAGGAAGGTAAGACTCTCCATAACTCCAATCAACCCATGGAGGTAACTCAAGCTCCTCTTGTGGTTTCCGCTAGTGAATGAGTTATGATCAATACATTCCCAAGATTAATGATACACTTACAATTTTTTTTCGTCATCTTAGCAAGATCCTTGACTGCATCTACGAGCTCCAGGTAAGAGCTATCAGTGCTGAGAGCATCTAAAAATTCAAAACGACAGTGAAGTGGAACCTCAGCTGGCGATGCTACAGCCCAGTCCTGTTCTTCTTCAGGTGTAACTTCAAGATCAGGTTTCACCTTCCCAGAACTCGCTTTGTCCCTTTTACTGCCGTTGAGTCTCATATCAGATGGTCTTGCCTTGATAAAAGAGACAAGCCTCTTGTTTGCCCGGCTCCGACTCTCCCAATACTTCCAGATGACACTGATATCCTTCGCTCTCATGTGAGAGGGGTCACAGATGAGAAGATCATCTGGAACAGAACTAGCCGCCAAATACTGTGATGGACAAGGAGTGATGGTACGCCAGGGCACAGGCTTACTACTGCCAGTGAAAACTTCTACAGAAGCAAACCCAATCAGCAAGCATATAGTAAATTCATGACGAAGACACCTACTGTATGCAGCATGAAAAATCATTCTTACGAGTTCTTGTTGATCCTTAAGCCGGATACCATCACAAGCAGGAAGTTGCGCATAGCCTTCATCGTCGAAAATGAGTTCAGGTAGTCCATGTTCCTCCTCTTCCTTGTCGTCTGTATCAGCTGTTGGGTCTATTGATTTATAGTCAATTAATGTGTATAAAATGAAGTGATAGTGACCATACAAAATTCGCCCTTCGCCCACTCTGCAAAGAACTCGAACCCATTTGAAGTCCACTCTTTGATACCGTCTGAGCTTACTGAGAAACTTTTTTTGACATTCTGAGGCTGAGATTCGTGTCTAGAGGATTATAGTTTAGTGGTTTTAAGATATATAAATGACCTAATACTCACAAGGTGATGTTCAAGGTCTGATTTGCTGGTTTCTTGTGACTGACAAGCATGACGGTGTGGCAACCCATAGTCCGACGAAGTTGTTCAGAAAAATCTTCAAGGACTTTCTTGAGATTATTCTTACGATACCTGCCAGCTGATGTCAGACCTGAAACCCTACCAAAATAAATTTCACTGAGCTCACATAACCTGGCTTTCTTCCGGTGCCCCCTCTGTGTTCCACTTCTCTCGTGCATAATTGACTTCTTTCTTCTGTGTCAATGACATTTGGTTGAACCATTCTCGCGCATGACGAGTACGAAACTTGATGGGATCCTTCACACCTTTTCTCGCCTGCTCTGCCTTGTTGAAGTCATCCATTTCTTGCCTAAACAATCTCTGAGCCACGTCCCAGTCGGTCAGCCTTTTCTTATAGAAAGCAGCTTCCTTTGGACGGGCACTAATCTCCCTTGCCTTTGCAGCTCCTTCCTCATCAGATTCTTCTTCGTCAAATTTTCGTCCATAGTATTTTTTGATTGCCTGCAAGTAGTGTATTAATAGACCTGTCAAATATCCTAAAATCAGTAAAAATGCAACTATGGCCTTTCGAATTTTCTTGATCACGCGAGACCGCTCCGACTTTGAATCTTTGGCAGCCAAGAACTTGGATTTATAACCAACAAGGATAGCTCTGAAGCTACTGGTCCAGTCTGAAGACATAGTTATATGACTGGAAGGTATTGTTTAAAAAAGTAATGCTGTGGATTAACAGTACTAGGATGTCTGAATGGTAAGAGTGCGGCTGGCCGGTGATCTCAGTCAAAAGATTCTGATCAACAAACATGTCGCGTGGATCATGTGATCGTGTTTAAGTCATGTGATCATGATTGATTCATGTTTCAAACTTCATGATTTGAGAGCACATCAAAATAGATTCAGTACTGTAGACATATGACAAGAGACATGTAGATATAAGACATGAAGGGCAAGGCCTACAGGGCAAGTTGGATCCAAGAGGACTGAGCTGATTTACCATGTGGAAGAACTCTTGTCAAATTCTCCGGTTGATGAAACTCGAAGGACTGGGTGCAAGTCTGATTCTTACATTCAAAAAAATAAACCTTGTTATGGTTTACCGAAGTCCATGAGTCAACCCACCCACACTTGGGGCATTGAACAGGAAGGTACTGCCCCCAAGGGCGGAACACAGTATGGGTCCATGCGAACTTGATGACGTTCAATGAGTCGGAATTCTTCACCAACAATAAAATGTCGGAGTGCCGACCCAAGTTGAGAGAGTGAGTCAGCATAAGAGGGAATGCGTGGCTGATAGAGAATCGCTCGATGATGACACGCTCGATGAATGCGAGAAGGAGATGTGTGGCGAAGCTTGGCTGGAAACGTACTGCATTGAAGGCTACAGTAGCGGAAAGTTGATTTCTAGTATAATCACATTAAGTCAGACACAAGACGGATCAAGAATAGCTTACCCGAGTACTGAGGTCTTCAAGTTTGCAAAGCTCTCGGAGTTGTTGACAATAGCGCCGCAACAAAACAGCCATAGGTACGATTCGTCGGCAACGTTGATGAGGTCCTTGAACGGCCCAAGCATGATGTCCAGAAACTGTTTCAGACTGTCAGTACATGTGCGAAAATAAAAGAATAAACTCACAGTATTGACTGGAGTAGCAATATAACTTTTCTTCTTGCCCTCGTAGCCTACATAAGGGTCGCCCAAGGTATTGTCGGTATGGTCGGAGACCCCAAAGATAATGCGTTTCCAACCGCCAGGGAAAGCCAAGAGTTCGAGGACGAGTTTGTCGACCATAGAATGAAACTTGACGATCTTCGAATCTGAGCCGACGTCAAAGGTGACCTCACGAAAACTGATTCCGCCATTAGGAAAGTAAGGCATGAGAAAATCGTGCGCGAGTTTGAAAGGCCCGCCCGTCGTGTCGTTGTCGATGAGGTTGAGATGGACGAAAAGCACAGTTTCGGCCGAAACCTGTGCTTGGTGGGACAACTCAAGCGCCCCGCGGATCTGAAGGAAGGTGTCAAAAACGGGCTTCCCGTCACGGTAAAATCCCTGTAGTCGATATATACATGATTGAATCAATATAACAAGAAAAAAAGAAGAAAAAAAGGTTAGGACTCACAAAGTAAGCATTCTGGGGGCGGCGGCCATGTTGTTGCGCTTGGACATGGCAGGAAATGCAGAAGAATTTGACGCCAACTCCAGAAATAATGTCCTGGTGACGAGGCATGATCTGGAGGCAGTGGGAGCACATAGTGCGTGGACACGAGTCACACATGTACAGATAGTGCTCATCCACTGATCCGTCGCGACAAACAAGACAGAACTGTAGGTAGATGTAGTTAGTTGTAGTTAGTTGAAATGCTGAAGTAAAAGAAAGTTAATTACGCACATTATTATGATCTGTTCTCTCCTCCTCCTCAATCTCCATAGTCCCCACTTCTACCCTTGCAACTGTTGAAACGGCACAAGGTACGTTGAGGGTGACACGAGGTGCTGCGCCACCAGTCGACTTCTTGCAGGTTTGTTTGGTCCGTGGGGGCATGGCGCAGTCGTGGATGCTAGGATCGATATGGCTGCTGCTGCTGGGTATACGCGAAAGCAGAGAATCACAGAAACAATAGAAGTAAGAACAATGGTATAGCACTAATAGAGACTACAAGCGGTAGACGTGCTGGACTTGCAAGTTCACAAATTTGCGACACAAACACATCCAAACAACAAACAACACCAAATAGACACGTGGTTCAAAGTTCAAAGTTCAAACGCGCTGTTGACTTTACTCTTTCCATACACCTTCACGCTACACACCTTTCCTTTTCTCATTAATCTATCATGATACATGCTAATTCTATGGTACCCTTTGGGTTCTTGCAGGGCTGCAGCCTGCAAGGATCCAAAGGATCTACCATAATGTCAACTTTCATACGCAGTAAGTTTTTTCTTCATTGTGTACTGTTTGCTAATGTTTATCTCTACAGCCACTTAGCGTCTCCCACTCAACGGTAAGTCTTTCACTTGGTTCACCACGCGCTAATTTCGCTCTTTAGTTCTAGTGTTTGCTATAGTGCGTCCTTCATTCTGGTAAGTCTTTCATTGCGTTCACTATGCGCTAATTCCTCTCTTTAGTTCTAGGTGTTTTCTTCTCTTTAGTTCTCTGGTGCGTCCTTCACTTGGTTCACTGTGCGCTAATGTTTCTCTCTCTCCAGTGTCTTGTTTCATGTCTCTCCCGCGGTTAGATTCAGTGCCAGGATTTTTTCTCAAGTCCGTGTTTCTTTCTGTTCACTGCCTGCTAATCTCTCATTCTCTCTAGTATCTTTTGATGTCTCTCTGGTAAGTCTTTTATTCAAATTACCGCATGCTGATGTTATCTCCCTTTAGTGTCTCTTCTCTTTTTAGTGTCTCTCTCTGTTTCCCGCTGTTGAGTCTGGGGGCTTCTATGTGCGGTGCATACCACTTGTGAGTGGTTCCCGCTGTTGAATCTGGGGGTTTATATCTGCGGTGCATACCACTTGTGAGTGGTTCCTGCTCTTGAATCTGGGGGCTTCTATTGTTGAGATCAAGGCAGGAAAAGATGAGGGTTCAAACATTCAAAGCTGACAATGATAATTTGCACACTTGACTTGATCACTCAAGGATTTTTCTTGACATGGAATCTAAGCTCGGGACTATATCTGATGGTTGTTCACAATTTTGTGCGGTCATAATCAAATGGTAAAATGGTTTCGTCCTTGTGCTATTATTTCCTTGATCCCATTGTAATCAACCAGGAGTTGGATGTGGTGAAGGACAGGACACTCGACACGATCACTCTAGGATTTCTCTTGACATCAGATCTTAATTTGACCATCCAGAGTGCACTTGTCCCAAAAGCATCGGTCCTCAACTCTGATATTAATCATGCTGCTCAAACAACGACGAAAATGATTCTGAGGAAGTCAAGGATCTCAAGGTGAGTTGCCTCGTTTGTTCTAATGAACAACTGAGGCGCCAATGATGAAGACGTTCTTCTTGGCATTCATACTGTCCATCTCCGTCAATATTTGGTTAAGTACGTGGTCCCCTGCACCTCCTGCATCACCAGATGGGCCACCATGTGCCTTTTCACTGTAAAGAATCCCGGGGAGGCGGGGTTGTAGTCCCTGATGACAATGAGAGGTTCCTCCACATCGTGGACTACCCATTTAGTGAAGATGCGTGTTTCGCCAGTCATGCAGTCCTTCCGTCATATAACAATCGTGCAGTATGCGCCCGACGGTTCTAATTCATAGCCGATGACATCGACATAACCTGGCGTGGCCTACGGTCATCATGTATTTCTACAGAGACTAGTTCAGGTCAGATTTCAATGAAGACCGATCAAGTAGGATGCAATCGATTGAAGGGGACTTGCAATTGTCAGTGATACTCAGGCCCCTTGAAGTTCCTTTTGCCTTATATCTCTGAAAATATCTACCCTTGAAGGCACTCTATCATTTCGGTCTTTGCATATTATTCAGTCTCTCCTTACTTTACTCAAGAAGCTTGGTGATTGAACTCATGGTGTTACAACTCATTTGAGTCTAAATGAAATTCGGGTCAACTCCGAGTTGGATCAAATTCATCAAACCTAATTCAGATCAAATGTTAATATGAATTTTTTGAGCCGAGGAACCAGGTTCAACCAATTCGCCGTCCACTGTAGTACAAGTTGCTCCTTTTCCCTTATATCTCTAAAATAAATATACCCTTGAAGGCACTCTATCATTGCAGTCTTTGCATATTATTCAGTCTCTCCTTACCTTACTCAAGAAGCCACTCGTGGGTTAATGACTGTCTAAATGAAATTCGGGTCAACTTCATCAAACCTAATTCGGATCAAATTTTAATTTGAAATTTTTGAGCCGATGAAATTCGGGTCAACTTCATCAAACCTAATTCGGATCAAATTTTAATTTGAAATTTTTGAGCCGAGGAACCAGGTTGAACCAATTCACCGTCCACTGTAGTCCAAGTTAATTGTGTCATGGACTCATTAGGGCCTGAGTCAAGAAACCTTCATGCCTTGCTGAGTTCAGAGATCAAGCAAATAATGAAGGAAGCTTCTGCAGTGCCTGTCTTCAAAGGCGGTGTCCTCCAATATCATCTACTGCAAAAGGCGCGGTATGTGTACTTATCAGTCTATTATGATGGCAGTAGCTAATAGACAAAGTATGAGGATTCGGTTGCAACTGAATGCTTGTTTGTCAGCAGAGCCAGCAGGTCATGGTTGTGATCTAGTGACAGAATATGAAATACATTGTGCATCCCTAACTATTGCACATGCAATGACTAATCCTCGTAAGCCCTTGTTTGTAAAACCCTACTAAATGAAGAAGTTGACATCCATGAGATAGACTATGTCCCGTGGGATGTTGATCGTTACCTTGACATGGTGAAATCCTCCCATAGCCAGCCAAGTGGCGTCCCATCAACGCAGAAGGAAAAACTAAGAAAATATTTTCCAATGACAGTACTAGGGAGAATTTCAGAACCAGCTATGATTGTTGATAATCATGGCAAGATATTGGTCTGGTACCTCCCCAATATTTTATCTGGTAGCCGAGTGGTGAGCTTCTTAATTTCAAATTTTCCTTGGTGATGTCTAATTAATTAAGGATTTGATGAACACTGCTACCATGGATCTTCGAGGTTATCTACTGAAATCCATACCAGTTGGTAAATCAGACAAGAAACCCTCTTGGCGTTCAGAAGGCTTTCGTGTGCCAGAGGGAGGGGGGACATTTGGAGCAGGACGGCTCACTGTCTCACCTGCTTATTTCATGCAAAGACGGGAGGTAACTTAATATTATTTCGGGGGTTTGATGGACATCAAATGACTCACATGATCGGTAATTTAGAGGCTTCAAGATCCCTTAGTAACATCGGCGTCCTATTCCTCCAACTCAGTTCAACAATGGCTAAAGGTCATCTCTGGCACAGAATTGTTCTTTAATGCCATAACAGCTTTCATTGCTCCTGAACTGTTTGAGGCAGGCTTAGCTGCAGCCTCGAAGGTATCGAGTGCCACTTTGCAGTCTAAAAAAACTGCACCAACATCTCAATGGCCCTCTGTTTTTTCGGGATTAGAGCTTATTGTTAACCGGGTTACTTTGGGTCACCGTGATGCTGGTGGGGCATCGTCTCATTATGACCTCCTAGCCAGTTTTGGCATTGGGCACAACACAACATTTCGAATCGAAGATCTAGAAGCAGAACTCGATTATTTCCCTGGAACATTAGTAAGTATTTTGGGCAAGGTACGAACCTTATTATTTCTTCATTGAACTATTTCTTAAATATGTGGGAAGGTTTTGGAGCACTCTGTCGGTCCCTGGCAAATTGGAGAAAGATTTGTCCTTGCACATTTTATGAAGGATAAGGTTCATGATCGAGTAGGGGTGTCTAAGCCAGCATTTCCAGTTCAGATGGACTTTTTACAACTATTGGGAAGTCATGATACAGATCATAGACCTAGGAAACGTGTCAGGAGGGAGATATAGGGAGATCAGGGCGGATCAAATTGGGATTTCGGGTTTTTTAACTCTGCTAGCGCTAGTTGACAAAGTTTTACATTCTCTGGCTGGAGTGCAAGTTATACTATCATGTCTGGGAAGAAAAAATCCCGTCTCAAGTCCAGTACTTTCTCCTTCAAAGACCGAGGTCAATTATCCCATGGGAAGGACTTGGATGTTCAGTATGTGACCCACAAAAAGATTATGAAGAAAAATAGGAAATCAACATGGGTGGAATCTTGTGCTGATCCTCGATATGATACTGGGCCGTCACCTACCTCTAGCCCACACAAAAGAGTTAAGCACCATCATGAAGGACCAGATAGCATTCCAGGAGATGTTGAGAGAGAGGTTTATGGAGATTTCATGTTATACACAGATACAGAAAATCCAAGACGACAAACTAAGGCAGGTTCATCTAGTCAAATAAAACAAATCACTGTGACTGAATCTGTTTAATTCAAGACTCAGAATGACTTCATTCACGAATATCTCAATTACCGTGATTTATTCCTGGATGTTATCCTGGAGTCAGAAGATTTGGCCAACGAAGGGCTCTGCGAATGTTGTCAGAGTCAGGAAGGTTTATTCCGGTGCTTGACTTGCAGTGGTGACCATGCATGGTGCCATGCATGTATTCTCGAAGCCCATAAATCATTACCGTTTCATAAGATGCAAGAATGGAACGGAAAATGCTTCGGTGACACATCCCTCATGCAGATGGGTTATATATGGCATTTGGGTCATGGGGGTCGTCCATGTCCATCCTCTCAAGGCTCTTGGGAATGGGAGGATTTGGATGTGCATATAGACAACCAGGTCGAGGGCACTGGATCTCATATTGCCAGTGAAACAAGTCCACCAACCACTTCCTTAACCATCGTTCACTCCACTGGAGTATTTACACACAACATACTCTGGTGTCATTGCCCTGGATCTCTGCAACAATCCTTGCAGTTGCTCAAAGCAGGATTATTTCCAGCCAGTATATCCCGGCCTCGAACTGCCTTCACCTTTGATGCTCTCGACAATTTTCTCATTGATGCCCTTGAATGCAAGACATCTGCATCAAGCTTCTTCCAAAAGCTTCGACGCCTAACTAATAATGCTTTCCCAGATACTGTGCCAGTAAGACATACTTATCTATCTTACATGGATTTTCATTGATACATCTTGTTTGATTCAGGATCGGTATCGTGAACTGATGAGGGTGTCTCGTCAATGGAGAGATTTGATGAATCGAAAACGTTTTGGATTTGGACATAGTTCCTTGATCAAGCCTGGGCCTGGTAACCTGGCTTTATTTTGTGCTGCCTGTCCACAGCCTGGAATTAATATGCCACTTCATTGGCGGCATAAGTATCCAAGGCAAGTGACTTATCTATTTCACGGTTGGTTATTGTATTTGTCTTCATCCTGGCCAGCACCACTCCTATGTGTGGCATATATGTTCTGGCCAGTCATGCTTTATTGGTTTGACTGGCTGGCCAGCATGACTTCTATGTGTGGCAAATTTCGTCCGGCCGGTCATGTTTGATCAGACTGACAGGCTGGCCAGCACCACTCCTACGTGTGGCAAATCCCATCTGGCCGGTCATGCTTGATCAGATTGACAGGCTGGCCGGCTTACTCCTACAGCCTGCCCATCTACTATTCTTAATCAAAATCATACTGACTCCTATTTAAATAGCTGGTTGATCATGCAGAGATATGTTGTGGATGGCAACTTCACCGCTCAACATATGAATATGAGACAACCTCATCTTGATGTCTCCCTCTCTGATGGTCTAGGGTATATGGTGACAGAGGCTGGGTACCAGGCTCATTTGTCATCGGCTATGGAGAGTAAGGATGTATGTTATTTTGGTTTTGCCGCATCTGTCTTTCTGACTAGGTATATATCAAAGAGATCCTCTTGCAGTAATCACCGTGCAGTCAATGCTGCCAACACAAATAGAAGCAATCTTCGAGCAACTGGTGTAGCTGCCACTGCTTGTGCACGTCATGGATGTTTTGTTCCTCATGCAGTGGTGGACTTCCAGAAGGGTGAACGGTATGTTTTGATTATAAGATTCAAGACTTTCAACAAGCTCATATGGGACGGTAGCCACATGAATGTCGACTACTCAATATGCAATGCTATCAATCATCATTCTCATGGCATTGATACCTCCCTTATCATCTATGATGTAGGCTGTCAGTGGTGCATTCATTTTGCAGAACGTGTAGCCAACTGCACAGGATTATCCCTACCTGAACATAGTCGAGTTTTGGCAGCTGTTGGTAAATTCCATCTCAGCGCCCATAAACTTCCATGTTTTGCAAGATTTAGTCTCAATTTTCTTCAAGGGGCAGGTCAAGTAGATGGAGAAATTCTAGAAACTCTCTGGGCATCTTTCAATAAGATATCACCAACTGCTCGTTCAATGAGTCAATACCACCGGCAGGAAATTTTGGATGATCACATGCGGGACTCCAATTGGAAGAAACTAGTTGGACTTGGTAAATATTTTGTTTCTAATTACAGAAGTGATTAATCATGTTAGAACAGTCAAGACTCTCTTGAAAAAGCATAAACGAGCCATCAAGGGAATTAGCGATACAAAGCCTCCTTTTGATGAGCTAACACGCTCATTGGACGATGAAAAAATTGCCATATGGGAAAATGATGAAATGAAGGCTATGGAGGAACGAGGCGAATATCTTGACATTTATCAGCTCAAGATTGATCAAGGTAATTCATCACTACTACTGTCCAGTGCAAATAATGGCTAACCAATATTTTTCATTGTAATTCTGAAGCCCCTACAATGGCTGAGATTCGACTAAGATTAACTGAAGCAGAGAATGCCGAAACAGGAAGATTAGGAACAGTATCTTGGATCATCCAAGGCATCAATCTTGAGGATGCCCAGTACGTCATAAGTGATTCAATCATGAAAGCATGACCACATTCATTTTAGGGATGGGTTACGATCAGAGTTTCGTCGACTCCCATCTGATGCCACTGCTACCCAGAAGGCTACTCTTGAAGAGAAACGACAGAAAATATCAGCTCGTATAACTGCATTCCATGAAACTGCTGATGCTATGACAGAGGGAATAGAGCTGGAAGCAGGTACAGTGCACAAAGATGATGCTAGGTTTTGCTGGGCAGAAGATGAAGAGCATGACTGGGAGGCTCATGTTGCTGACCTTGAAGATGATTCCGAATTGGTGGATGATGAAATTTCAGCAGAAGATATGGGTCTCTGGATGCCATCATCAGTGCTTCATGATCAAGTCACTTCGGCTCATTTATTAGCCCTTCAAGCAGAGGAATTGGAGCTGAGACGGGGTCAAGCCAATGATTGCCTTGAAAAAATTCGGTTGGCTCTTGGTGATAAGGCTGTCATCTACCGTCAACACTTTCGAAGCGCTGATTCTGTGTGGACTGGGACAAGATCCAAACAAGAAGCTCAACGTTGTCGTATCAAAATCGACAAGTATGTCCGAAGTTATCAAAGGGCAAGATCAGCTATGGAGAGACTTGGCATGGATCGAGAATCTCTAGAAACTGTTTATCAAGAAATACTAGCTGAACAGCTTAGTATTGACAAGGAGGTGACAGAAGAGAATCGATTCGGCCAGGGGTCAGACAAACTTGCATGGTTTTGGAGGGTTAACAACGGAAAGCAGGATCAAACAGACACTTGGATGGATGAATGTGAGTCATATTTTATCCATGTACTTGAATGCAGCTAAATGAATATATTTAGTCTACAGAGTGAACTGGTTGAAGGCAAAGGCAAGATGGAACAGGTGGGAGGAGGAGTTAAGTCTGGTTCAACACGAAATGGGGTGGACAGTCAGTTGGTTCAAATACCAAGAGGAAAAATGGCAACTACGATGGCACCAAGCTACCAAACCTGGTCATCAACCATATGCCCATAAACAGGTGCTGGTGTGGAAAGCCTTCACAGCAGAAGCTGAGGAAAAATTCAAGGACAAGCTGCTAATCATGATTTGATACTTTTTTTTCCAACATAAAGCATACTAGTATTGATGCTGCCTAGTATATACTTCATCAATGTTACTGTTGTCCATCGGCTACATCATAATGTTAGTGTGGCCGGCTTAGAGATGTGGCACATAATATTTGGGCTGGCCATTACATGTGTGCACAATATTACTTGGCCGACTTACACCTGTAGCATCTAGTATTGAGACTGGCCAGTAGGTGTGTGCATAACATTACCTGGCCATTGTATGCCTGTGGCATGTAGTATTGGGGCTGGCCAGTGTGACCTGGAATAATGTTACTATGGCCAGCTAGAGTATATGGCACATAGCAATGCAGCTGGCCAGTATGCACTTCACTTTGTGGCAAGTAGTATTGTGGCTGGCCAGTGTAGACTTGAAAAATATTACCCTTGTCTGGCCATCTGGACCCCGCACCATGTAGTATTTAGGCTGACCAGTACATACATAGTACCTACTTAGATTAAATTACTCTTGCTAGCTGAAGTCTGTTCATGTAACATTGATGCTGGCCATACAATGTACCATAGAATAGACTACCTTATTTAGTGTAGAAAATTATGAGCCATGGCCAACTTGTCTATGGCCCATGTAGGAGAGTGGCGGCCAGGATGCGATAAATTTAAAGGTGGCATGGCCAGCATGGGTTTTACATAGCCTACAGACAAGACTGGCCATACAATGTACCATATAATAGACTACCTTGATTAGTGTAGAAAATTATTAGCCATGGCCGACATGTTTATGGCCCATGTAGGAGGATGGTGGCCGGGATGTTATAAATCTAAAGGTGGCATGGCCAGCATGGGTTTTACATAGCCTACAGACAAGACTGGCCATACAATGTACCATATAATAGACTACCTTGATTAGTGTGGAAAATTATTAGCCATGGCCGACTTGTCTATGGCCCACATAGAAGGATGGTGGCCGGGATGTTATAAATCTAAAGGTGGCATGGCCAGCATGGGTTTTACATAGCCTACAGACAAGACTGGCCATACAATGTACCATATCATAGACTACCTTCATTAGTGTAGAAAATTATTAGCCATGGCCGACTTGTCTATGGCCCACATAGAGGGATGGTGGCCAGGGGGTTATAGATCTAAAGGTGGCATGGGCAAACTGGCCAGGTAAGTCTATTATATAGTACACTGAATGGCCTGTCTGGTCTGTAGCCTATGTAAAGCCCATGCTGGCCATGCCACCTTTAGATTTATAACATCCTGGCCACCATCCTCCTACATGGGCCATAAACATGTCGGCCACGGCTAATAATTCTCTACACAGAATGGCCAGCCAGGCTCTTAGGCCACATAGCCATGGCCCAATAATTTTTTGATACACCAAACACTGGCCTTTATTGCTCCACATGGCCTATAGACAAGCTGGCCAGATCAGTTAATTCATAGTACAAAGAATGGCCAGTCTGATTGGTAGGCTATGTAGACACCCTAAGTTATTTGTAGTGGCATATATTGGTAGGCAGCATATATGACCAGACCTTGAGCCCTGGCCATTACCCTTCTATGTCACCTCAGGACATACAGGCCGAGCATTATCTATAGTCATAGGTAGATATATAGATTAGCAAATCAACATATTACATATGCAAGTAGGATATTGACTGAATGGCCACCCTAATATCACCCTCTGTAAATGTTAGGCTGGCCTGATCCAATACTACACAATAAGCTCATCCTGTACTAATATACTATACAATGTGGCCATCACAGGTTCTGCATGTCATACAGTGAATTGCAATATGCTTATCAATGCTATTACTGGAATTCCTAGACAGACTGGCCAGCAGTGATCCTATGTCCACCGGCCGGTGACTGGCTGGCATGGATTCTACAGCCTTTTTGCATGTCCGGAGCCAGGGTTCTACGTAGTAACATGACTGAAACATGTGGTACGGAAACTTGACGATCCTGTGAAGTATACTCGTTACTGTGACGCACTCATTCGTTTCATGTGTAAGTACATAAATTTGCGCGTTGCGTATGAATGACATTGACATTTCTGGGGCGTTTATACAGCACAGCGTGCTAAGTAAAACGCTAGTCAACTCTGAGAATCTGAGGTATCCCAGCATAAATATTGTTGTCGATGGAGGCTTGACACGATCGAGATTATCCTTTTTTTGCGCAGGCTCCTTGTTGACGTGAGTGGAACGTGGGCTCCCGTTGTCTCTCTGAACCCACGCTCTTCAAAGATAGGGACTCCATGTCTGGCCACACATCCGCCATGTTGCCGAAATCTGCATCACTTAATGTGGAGACACCGTGACCTTTCCACGTAGACACTACATATGGAATGTAGTGATAGTAATACAGCCGAACAGCAAGGTCCACAGAATATCTTTTGTTGTTGTTGTGTCTCTGTTGTCACAGCTAGCAGAAGACATTCCGTGGACCCTCAAGCTTCAAGCCTCAGTCTCTGTTCCTACCTGCGAAACCGAACGTGTTTTTCCCAACTAGTGATTACTTCAACCCAACCAATGTTGGCCCTCGCAAGTTCCTTGTTCGCGTTTGCTGCTCAGACCAAGCTAATCATGAAGAGACAGATTGATAAAGAGGAACAAATCACGACTCTTATGATGAAAACATTCGTGATTGTCCTCTAGAACAGTAAGCTTACTCGTCAGTCTATACTCCTGTGCCGCCGGTGCTATTGTCGTTTTCATCATTGTCTCTGCAGAACAATTATAGATATCTCTGAATCCTCAATCGACAATAACACGTGTTACCAGAGTCACGCAGTTATCTCTGGTCTCCCTGTTCATATCATGCACTTCGTTAATGTTCGGGACTGCTATCATCTAATATGCAGTAACGCTTGAATGATGCTCAAGTTGCTCCGAAAAATTCAGTTGTGTATACATAGACTGCCTAGAGGTGGACAAAAAGTTTATTTGATGTTGCAGGAGAGAGTCGACAGGACTTTTTTTTACAAATTATGTATCATCCGTCGGAATAATATTGGTACTGAATAAGTTTGGAGTAAGTGCTCATCTGTCTGTGAAGTCTTGACTCGCTATGGATGTATAATATGTACTGACCTCAACCCCACCCTTCGAACCTCTTCACTGCGGATTCAAAACTGTTATCCCGTCGTAACCGCTGGCCTAAACCGACTCGAGTCTACGATGTACCTCACCCCACAAACCTTCCATTGCGGATTCTTCCTTGTCCGATAAAATCCTCGAAAGCTTAACGCTGTCCAAATCCTTCAGGAGGGATTGGAGCTCATGCTTTGAGATACAGTGTGAAATATATGTCTTTGTGCGCGTGACAAGTGCATCAAGGAACTTGGAAAAATCAGCGGAAGATAAGGTATCGTCACTGACGAAATGCCATGCCATCCTCATGAGATTCCACCACTGTTTGCTCGTGATCGTGACAAGCTGAGGAGCGACATGCTCTGGGCGAGCAAGTTGGATGCGGAGGAAGATTCCAGCAAGGTAAAAGTGGGACTCATGAGGCTGGTCCCAAGAATCAGGAATGGTTCTGATGCACCTCCCGATATGGCCGTCTTTGTCTAAGTGAGGGAGCCAGTCGGGAGTATTTGCAAGAGCGAACACGAGACAGAGATAGTAGATATCATGGTCGGCGTCGAAGGTGTCTGGATGAACTGCGGTGAGGAGAGCTGGGGAGAGTTCGGAGAGCACCATGTCTCGTAATGGCGTATCCACTCCGCCAGCAATGATCTTAGCCAGATGATCTCTGAGATCATAGGCTCTAAGTAAGGCGCTATGTCTGCAATCATTGCGTTTATCTGAACCCATGTAGCCAATGAGTACATGGCAGTAACGAATATACTGTGGGGGATTGTCGAGCGACGGTGCCGGCAACGCAAGGAGTACCAGACGCTGAATGCTAGGTAGCGGGGAGCCTGCTAGATGACTGTCGTTTGGCCACTCAGCGTAATCGAGCAGCTGAATGGCATTGGTTAACAGGTCGTCGTATTTTGAATGTTGGGTGGGATAAACGGCTATCAGGACAGCGTCCCAGAAGTCTTGTTGAATGTACGAGCAGGATAGAAGGTCGAGAAAAGCACAAGCAGCACGAAGGCAGAAAGGGTCGTTGCTTCGTGCGTGCTGGCACGTAGTATAAATGCGAGGGCGAGTACCAGCTGTCGACTCAATCAATTCAGACCTTAGACCTCTCTTGCATTACAAACATGAAAATCATCTCACTCACCACGATTATCGTGTACGTCGCAGTGATGGCTGGGGTCGCTATCGCAGACAACCCTATCGGCCAATTCTGCTCCGCCCCTGGTGAGTGCTCTCCCAGCCTAGCATGTTCTGGAACGTTCGGACCTTTGGCTGCGTCCTTATGGTTGCTTGTAGGTGCTCTTGGGTGTGCACAGGACGCAAGTGTTAACTATGGGCATTCATTTATCTTCGAATGCGCATCGTCAGGCAGGTTCATACTTGAAGCACCCTGCGGTTGTAACGGTTGCTGTCTCACCACAACCAACGGCGGTGCGTACTGCATAAGCCTGAGCGAGACCTGAGCGCTGCTCTCCCTCGCGAGTCCGAGTGTAGGTGGGGTTGTTTGGGTCCAAGGGAGTTCGCTGATGTAGCAAAACAGGAGTAAAAGTGAGAAGGAATTCTGTGGTCTACTAGTGTCAATGATATGACATGAACATCTGGACAAACACTACCTAGGCAATTCCTCGCCGTGATTGAGTTGCACTGGTGTTGTCCCAGCATCCCCAAAAGGAGCATTCCTGCATGGACAAGTCAAGCTGCACTTGGCAGTGATAGGAACTTGCCTATCCATGTACATGAATGAGAGCACTAGTACGTTGATCGGGCTGAGTCAAACGGGATCCCGGGTAAAGCAGCGTCGTCCAAGGTGTATAAAATGCGAGATGTTGAACCTAGTGAACACGTGCCTGATGTATAGCTAGCCGATTCAGAGATTGACCCCCCATGGGCTGGTCCTGAGATCTGAGAAGCCACACAAGGACATCTTAGACAGTGGATAACAAGACAGAAGGATGTATGGGTTTTTTTGGCTAATAAGCTAGTTAGATATATCCTTCCCTCACTAACAGGTCACGGTGGGTGTTTTCGAAATTTCGCGCTTACAGTTACAACTGAGTCAAAATTGCAAATCATATGTCAAGAATCAAATTTAAAGTAGACATAGTGGAGACATTTGGATGGTGTCACAGAGAGCTCGAGTATGTATAACAAAAGTTAAGCAAGTACAGCCGTGTTGGTGATGTGTGAATATACAAAATTCCAGTACCACGACCCCCAGCAGACAAGACGTAAGTATCACTGCCCACCAAAACCATAAATAACCACGGTACATAATGCCCGTAAACTGTGACAGAATGAGACAAATTTATTGAATGGACACCGGTTGAATGACCGGTGTAACATCCATTGAAGGGAGGAGAATGATGGCGGTTGTGATAAAGGCATGATAACGCAGTTCCGAGATATGAGTGTTGTGATCAGGCGATATATTATCATCTAACGAGAGACCCGGCACTCAGTCGTGGGCAACAAGGAGAGGGGAAAGACACACACCAGGTGCGGACTGCATGGTGCTCATCATGCGATGACACAGTAGCAGTTTTGGCCTTGATTATTGGTCTCCTGGTCAATTGGTACTTGGGCTTGCGTCCCTTCAGAAGAGACGGATTCCGCGAAGAAGGCGGGTAGGGTGAAGAACAAATCCATGGCTTACGGCGTCGAAGAATAAATCGAAGGTCAACGAAGATACTAGTAAAGCTCAGGAAGCTTTCAAGGGAATTCGAATTACTAGAGACTCATCTCTCAGCTCTCGCATATTTATGCGTTTCCAACAGGCATGACCTCCGGCAGCCTCGAAGGAATCGGGGGACTGACAATTGGCGCAATGTTCCTCATCGAGTATAGATCGAGTTGCGAATGATGAATCTTGGGATGAGATGAGATAGCACACACCCTGTAACCATCTACGCTAGAATTATGGCTAGCGGTTAGGTATCGAAACACCTCGATAAGAAAAGACAAAAGGACCAGGTCCTACGTCTGATTATGTCTAGTTGGAAGATCAAATTTGTTCATCATTCCCAGCGAACATCGGACAGTGCAAGAGACGCCCGGAGTGACACATAGTGCACCGCCGACTGAAACACCCCTTGCACAATCCCTGCAGTACGAATAATAGTACGAAAATCGGTCCAAACACAGTATACGTACGAATGTGATGGAATGAGAGCAGGGAAGTGGTCTGAAAGGCACGCGACGCGCGCAGCCTGGACGATGTTCTTGACCTAAATATTCGAGGAACACTGAGCAAATATTTGAATCAGTACCCATGCTGCAAATAGTAAATACTCACCATTGTTGTCGCTTTCGACTTGCCAGTGTAAGACTACTCGGGAAAAGTAAGCTCAGTCCCGGGGTATCGACGGTCCAGGATTTAAATATTTATCCTCTTCTGGTTCATTTGGCACATCGGGGATTCGAATATTTAAGACTGGTTTGAATGTCGTGCGAAATGTCAAGATAATACTTAATATTTAGGTTGTCGTCTTAGCGGATGTAAAATTTCAAATGTTAAAGAGGTCTTGCACGACAAGAGAAATATAAAGTATCAGCGAACATTTTCTTACTGTCTGAATGTCAATGACAATAAGAAATATAAATATATCTTTAATGCTGGCATAAACTTCGAAATGAAACTTCACATTTAAGACTCGAAAAAACTTCAATTTTAGCACGTGACTGAACATCTGCTCATGTATGAAGTTTAGACCGTCGCTTAGACGGGCGTTAAAATTCAAAGTACCCCCTGACAATAAAATGTGAAAATAAATCATCAAGTTTTATCTCCAGATAAAACCGATCGCCCGACGATCGCCCACTCACGGCTGAATCATCGCCCACTTACAACGTCATCGCCCACTTGAGTTTGAGATGCGAAATATATTAGGGGACCAGACGAGCTAGAACTTAGAAAAACGCATTAACACACTCTTATTCAACTGGTACAGACCAACAATAGCATGACGGGGTGGACAGCTTATATATTGTACATGTACACGAATGTAGTAGAGTGAAACCGAAAATCAACCCTGTTTGACAGTAGTCAGACACCGGTGATTTCTCGAGGTGAATGAATGTACTTACAAAATCATTTCAACTTGTATACAGGCTAGTGCTAGTGCCTAGTGCTAATTCTCTGTAAAAGCTGAGCAGGAGATTAGAGACGCACAAGTAACAACCAATTTATTCTTACCACTTGCGTTGGTGGCAAGAAAACTGCAAGACGCCGCGTCGACATTTTTCATCATTTTGTTGGTGCCTGCATTGAATTTGAGTGAGCCTTTCCACTTCGAGCCAGTCATTGGACCGTTCGCATCATCAGTGAATGTATGTCGCTCGCGTGAAACACCCAGTCGAATGTTGTCCAGGCGTGACTGGAACCAAAATTCGCATTGACTGGACCAGAACCCCACGTTTAGTCCTGAGGCAGCCCAGGCCTGGGGCCTGGGCCACCAGGAGACGATTTCAACATTCCCGTCGTCTAGATTCAAACATAAGCGCCTCTGTCGATGTAAACAAGAGAAACTTACTGGTATGCAGATAATACGTCCCGCACATGAAATCTACCTCCTCTTCTGACAGCTCATCATCAAAATAAGTCTGGCCATTAATGTCCAGCATGAGGCCAAACGGTACCGCTTCCCGCGAAATGCCATCGAGAACGGAGGGGAGAACATCGAACCCAAGACTATGTAAAGCCAGCCGCCATATGAGGCCACCATGAAGAAGTGCCGCTCTTGCGCGAGGCTGGTTCATGAACTCGTGACGGTGCTGCTCGTACACGATGTAGTCAGCAAAAACAGGCCTAAAACGGGCGAGTCTGCGATCCTCGGGGGGGAAGACGTGTCCGAGCGAGTATGTACGGAGTTCCGTAGGTGGGCGTCGAGCGTCAGGTGGAACTGAGATTGGCTGCAACGTCTTTATAGCGATTCCTTTTTCAAGGAGGTTATACGCGATCTTGGTGATATCCGAGCCCCAGTCACGCCGGAGGCACATCACAGCCGTGATAGCGTCGGGAACCGCCAGTTTCCAGGGCACCAGATTTGACGACAGTGACTCGATTATGTAGAGCCGCTGCTTGGGTTGTTGCACATAGGAAACTCGAATGTGTGCATTCGAGACTGACAGGGACGAGTCAGGTCCTAGATCCCAGAGATCGGGCGGGATGTCTGACAACTGAGATTGAGGGAGCGTGACGAGGTAACCTATAAAACATGTGATGACATGCTTCTGTGCGTCTGGAATTGACGTGATATCCGTGGGGTTGTTGCCGACGAGTCTGGTTAAGTGAGTCCACTGTGTCTTGCGAGTCCAATCATCGAATGTAGTCGATCTGCCTCGGGGTGTAGTGGTGGATGCTGCAAGGCGATATCCGAGATGAAAGTGCAAAATGGAGACAAATCGCTCAACACTACGAGTGTACTGCGTTGAGGGTGCAACCTCATAATGACCGAAGTAGGCTTCGATGTCTTTCAAGAAACTGGACAAGGGTGGGGCAGGGGCAGGGGGAGCAGGGGTAGGTTCAGAAGGAGCAGACGCAGGCGGGAAATCATCTTCCTCCCAATCGCCATCGGGAACGCTGGTAAGATCCAATGCATCGCACAAATCCCACTCGTTACGGAACGAGTCGTATACCCTGGTAGACTTGCTATACGACATCCAAGTCATTGGTATCTCAGCCTTTGTGAGACAGATGCGTTGACGAAAGCCGCCAAACTCGTCATTAGGTTGCCATTCAAACACCACAACTGTGCTGGATTTGCCAGGAATGCCGTGGTTCATGGCTGCCCGCTCACGGCTCTGACGCGACTGCCGTTGAGCTGGCGTCTCCGTCTCCTCTTTCCTCTTGTTCTCCTGACAGCGCCGCGCAAAGAATGCCTTGAAGTCTTCTCCTCGCTGCTGTCTAGAGTGGGGTTGGGAGACCGGGAACAGAGAGTCCGCATGTGCCTCGGGAACATCAGACACGGGCTGTGCCCCACTGTTCTCACCCCATCCAAGGGCGCTATCGTCCCAGTTAAGGACACTCTGAGTGTTGTCCTCTGGTCGACCCCACGCACTATCGTCCGGTTGACCCCACGCACTTTCGTCCAGCTGACCCCAAGTGTCAGGCGTCTCCTTGCGTTGGACTTCCTCGGTCGCACGGGTGATAGCTGCCGGAGACGGGATATAATGACGCAAGGTAAAATCAACGGCAGCAGAAGTATCCCCAGAAACGCGGACCCAAATCGGAAGCGAGAATTTCTCAAACATGGGCAATTGAACTTGCCAAGGACAGTGAATGGAAGAGATCAAGGCTCCCGTACGTGGCACGTTTGTCGTCAGATCTCCAACGAATGAGCGCGACAACTCAAGAACCCATTCAGCGGGTATGGGATGTTGGGGGTTACTCGTTAAGATAGCCGTCCACTGATTGGCACCTTGGTATCGACGCGTCATGATGTACCACGAGCAGGTGGCGGCAATTACTGGAAATCCGTCAGGCAATCACGAACGATGAATAAACTGGTTGACTTACATAGAAATGCATCGCGCGACCTTATTGCAACCTTTTTAGCAAGGTTAGCGTCTGTATGCCACCGTTGGTACCCATAGGAAGTCGGAGGGCGTGGAAGTTTAGTCCCCCATGGAATCAATAATCCAGCACCCAAACGTTCCTGGCACCAGAGCAGTTTCTGCTCTAACTCGACCCATTTTGCCCGAATATCGCGGTGGAGAATGTGCCTTCCCAATGTATCTACCTCTGTAAGGAGGGAAAACCTGGAGTGGTTGAGGCATCCAAAGATTGGCCCATCGAAGCTAGGATTCAAAGGTACCAGGGGAAACCACGGACGAGTTCCGTACGCCCAGCGAGTGGTGAGTGGCGTATTACTATCGTCGGGAGAACTATCGTAGTCTTCGCGAGGATCCCAAGGAGGCTCGTGAGGTATGACGTCGGGAAGGGAGTGTGCAGTGAGAGAGGTATAAACCTGCCCATCACGGACGATGACACGGAGATTGTTACTCATGGATGCGAGGAGACGCAAAGAGTATCACAGTCAAGACTACTACCGCAACAGTACAAACCGTTACGTTAGGTCAAGATCAGAGACGTTGAGTATATCGCAGTCGTTGAGAATATCGCAGTGCAGTCGTTGAGAATATCGCAGTGCAGTCGTTGAGAATATCGCAGACTCAGAGTATCACAGTCAAGACTACTACCGCAACAGTACAAACCGTTACGTTAGGTCAGAGACGTTAAGAATATCGCAGTCAAGACTACCGCAACAGTACAAACCGTTACGTTAGATGAGGAAGAAGGTAACGAAATGGGAGAAGGTTTGGTGCGTCTAATATAGACGTAGCGGAGTTTCAACAAACAATTACCATATCAGTGGCAACAATATGGGGTGTGGTCTGTGGCGGTCTGTGGCCTGTGTGGATTGAGACAAGCGGAGGCAAACAAAACAATGCCACTGTGACTTGGGATGAGTGGAGAAAATTAAAAATTAAAATTAACAACAGAATTTTAACTATGTGGCTTGAGATGTGAAGTAAAGAACTTGAGTTAACCTTGGAGTTGGGATGTTGACGATGGTGATGGAGCCAGAGAACGCCGGGCGGCACGACAAGTGAGAATAGGGCTGCCACGGACGTCGAACCAGGAAGCGACGGATGTCGACTTAGAGTTAGGACATTGGCGGTGGGGATGAAAGTAGAGAATACCGGGCACGACCGTACATACAGTCATGCCCTGGAGAAGGTCGTGAAAGGTTGCTGCGACGAGACGATAAAAGAGGAGTTAATGCAGGGCATGACTGTATGTACAGTCATGCCCTGGAAGAAGGTGAGGAAGGGTCGTTTTCGACAAGGAGAATGGGAGCTCGACAGTACAAACCGTCGAACCTAGTAATAGTTATTAATACCAAGTTCCATAAAGATGAGGGACTTAGAACTTTGGCGACGAAAGCGCCCAACAATCACAAACACCCATATTAGGAAATTGTTACATAACATTGACATTGACTGCTCCATCTCATCGTCCCCATCCTCGAAGCACGACAGTATGTACTGTCGTGCTCATCGAGTTCATCGTTCCTATCTTCGGAGCACGACGGTATGTACTGTCGTGTCTCCTATCCCATTAATCAATTTACAAGTCCAGCCGTCAACACACGTCATCCAACTCGCTTTCGCTTATTGCGACCCCTTGGATCACGTTGGCCCTGTCTTCTACGTCAGGTAACCAAGTCGTTTGTTAAAATCCAACCCCATTGACCAACCGTTAAACAATCCAGCCGTTAACATCTGTCATCCCCTCCACCGTACATACAGTGGAGGTGGAATTGACTCAGTCCATCTACCAATGCGGTGGAGGGCATAATGCAAAACCTATGTCTATGTTCAACTAGTGTGCTACATGTACTGGACGAGAGATAGGTCCTTCGTCTCTTCATCTCCTTTCGCTGCTTGTGGGTAATCAGTATCGCGCTTGCCCCTATGGTCATCTTTGTCGATCGCTCCGTCCGCTTCTTGAGCTAGCTCCATGATCTTTGCCGCTAATTCCCGGAGCATCATAATGTCATTTTTGACGTATCCTTCGGTCGGCCCTTCCTTATCGTCCTTCTGGATATCTACATACTCGTCAAATATCATGGCAGCTTGGACACGCTGTGAAAAGTCATCGGCCACATTAATCATTGTTGCCAAAGTCATGTACCCATGTACACGGTTCAGTGCGCTATCCTGAAGGTGCGTCAGTTAGATCCCTGCTGACCAACTGGCCCACTTACCAAAAAGCTGTCTCTATAATTTATCAGCAGGAAGACGCTCATAGATAGCAGTGCCAGTAGTCGTGTCAACATAACCAGTATGTGCGACAGGGACCAGTAATCCCCTGAGGGCGCCTTGGATACCTTCGGCACTGCGTAGTCATACGCCCATATCTTGATTGTAGTTTTCCCGCGCCCTAGCACGGGCGAAGTGCTGGCAATTGTGCAGCGGCCATTGAGATCGCGTGCCTAAACCAGGTCAGTGACATTTTTTTCCGACTAGTCTTAATACTTACGGATATTGTTTGCACAAGGCCAGTGTCCGCATGGTGGAGGGTTTGAAGTGTCTCCCCTGTCTTCCGATCAAATATATATACTAGCCCATGGTCACTTCCTCCCACAACTACCTTGCCGTCTTCCCCGAATGCCACTTGCTTCGGGACCGATACGCTTGGCAAACCAGTTGCAAACGTTCGAACAGGCTCACCATCACCTTCAAGGCGATATAATGTAAACCCGTCTGTTGCATTATCAACAATGAACACGCCCCGCTTGGAGTACACCGCAGCATGACCACTATATAATGTCAGTAACGCGCCCAGGTCGAGAGCGGTAGTTTCTCACATCACTGATTTGCAGCTAATTTCTTGCACTATGTCGCCATCTTCATCCTTCAGTTTCATGCTGTTCGGCTCTCAGCATCAGGCAATGAAAGTATGCAGTGGAAGGACTGACAAGTTGCCATCATAGAGCCCGAACACATAGATGCTCCGGTTATCTGCGAACACTACCGACTTGGGCACCGTATTTTCAAGTCGCACTGCGAAGACGGGCTGGAGCTGCGAGCTTGTATTGAGCGTCAGAACCTGAACCATTTTGTCTCTAGTTCCGACTACAATTCGCAGGTTGCCGTCAGAGGAAGTTGAACGCCATGACAAGCATGTGATCTCAAAACCCGATCCCAGTCTCCTGGCACATATTTCCTGGAATTTTTCCTGTTGGCGTCAATGGACGGTCGAACAGCAAACCTAGGTGCTTACATCTGTGAGACTGCGTCGCAAACATACGATATAACCCAGGCCTGTTCCATAGCAGAGGGTTTCTGCCGTGGTTTTCATAGTCGTGGCCCAAATTGCGCAACTGACTGTTCCCCTTGATTCATGATGATTGGACGAAGATGTGAGTTCTTTCCGCGATGTGATATCCCAGAGTTTGATTCCCTCGGTTCCTGTTTGTTTGTTTGTTAGCCCTGTCTATGACCGAGTTTCTTCTTTCTTACCACCGCATGCAAGCAGGTGTCCATCATTAGAAATCGCAAGTGCATGGATAGAGCCATTATAGGCAGTTAAACGGGCGAGCAGCTTGTAACGCAGTGGCTGCGCTGACTTGTTGAACAATGCAAGGAAAGACATTATGATATAATCCGCTGTAGTCGCCCGCTCACAACGTATTTATCTGTACTTCTCATTTGTTTTCAAATACTTTTGTATCGTTACCATATTTGTTTGACTCCATGGTAACTTCTAGTCATCGTCGACGCCATTTGTGTGCTATTCTTCTTATTCTTCTCTATGGCCCTATTATTCTTATTATTATTCTTTACAAGCGCTATTCTTGGTTACCATTTTCGAAGCCCCTTATTGTTTTCGCTCAATATGGTAATCTGTTGAATACTTTACTCTCATGAACCGTCCTTAAGTTCCAGGTAGCTACTCGGTTCTTTCTCTATCATGCGCAGTACTACCATTGTTCCACCTTTCTATGACTCGGAGCCTGGTGCTCCACCACCTCTTCCCCCAATGCTCACGGACCAGCTAGAGCTGTTTGGCAACGCCAATCGTCGCCCGACTACACTTATCGCCGATGAAATCCTAGTTCCTCAAGCTAGTATCATTTCCACTGCAAGGGCTTCGTCGTCTACACCCGCCCCTGAATTCAAGCTTGCGAAGCAGATGCGCAAGCATTCTGATCACTCTACCTCTCCATACACCAAGAAAGTCACTTCCACGCACTCCCATTCTCGAATGCCTTCACCCTCAGATTCCTCAGGCGCTTCGGATTCTTTCTCAGACAGTGACTCCTCAACTTCGAGCGCGAGTTCATCAGAAGACTCAAAGATTCCTAAACCTGCCGGTGAACCTGGGCGTCCGGGGCGTGGGGGTTACACACTTCGTGAAGCTTTAGATTGGAATCCAAAGGCATACGCAAAATTCAAGGTTTGCAAATTGTCATTGTACCCTTAGTATTGCAAATTAACTCGTGAATTCCTAAGAGGTCTATGCATAGTCTCATCGACAACCACCTTGACACGACAAAATGCGCTTCTGGCCAAAGTCCTGCGCTATTGGAAGTCGTGCGTGGCAAGGTGAACAGTTTCTCTGAGTCTCGATATTGTCAATGAACTAATCATCTCTGACAGGCGCTCGACAACTTCCCAGACCTTGACAATTATAACAACTTGTGGCCAGTCAACGATTTGATCATGACACGCCTGAAATACACGTCTGGACGTGCGAGACGAAAGGTGGGAGAAATGGCTGTAGGCAAGAGCAAGTGCAAGGCCAGGAAGTGATACCCCGACTGCATTAGATGTCTCCGTCATTATTACGTGCTGTATGCATTCTATATCAAGCTGGCGTTCAAAGATTAGTAGCCACGAGTTTTACGCGCATCAGGGAGAGCGAAACTACATCATGCAAGTCATCTGCGAAGCTACCCAGAACCCGTCAGTATCAGTTCAAGCCGGTGCTTTCGAATGTTTAGTCAAGATCATTGTGGCACTGTACTACGACAATATGGCTTTCTATATGGAACAGATCTTGTTTGGCATATATCTGCAGTCCAGCTGAGAAACTCGGTATGTAACAATGCTTTAAATTATACTACTACTCCACACCTTGCAGCTAACCGACAATTGGTACGAGTACTCAGGGGTTTCACAAGAGTAAGATCGCGTGGGAGCCTAGCTCTTGGACGACTACTTATGCTTTGCGCAAAGCTGAAAAGATAGTTATGGTAGGCTCAATAGATTATCGAGTTTACTCACTGGTGAATTATAAAGTCAGCAAGTGCATTATCTCTGCCTCGCATGTTCACAACTGAGGGATAGTTGACTCCAACCCTCATAACCACTGCATCGCCTCGGAACTTATGATCACCCGTACTAAGAAGCACGTTGGCTCGGAGACGAAGATGTCGCTTGAAGAAGATGCAGAATCGATGGATGTGTCTCCCTTCGCACACATTCACGAAACAGTTGTGAACATAAGGCTGCACGGTAGCCTCCTCGAGAAGACTTTCAGGAACAGGAAAACGCTGAGCAGTGCGTGAGCGGCCAGAGCAACGCGTCAACATGGTGACCTGACGGGGTCTGGTCCACGATGCTGAATATAGCCTGCACCACAGGTGAAGCTCCGGGGTCTGATTTGAAGGTAAATAAAGGGTGTGAGGTAGTAAGCGATAACTTACAGCAGACGTTGGAAGGATATATGTGCGAGTGTTTACCATCTGATTATAGTTTGATCAAGGCAATAATCTAAGAGGTGGGCGATGAATGCAGGCGATGAAAGCGGGCGATGGAAGCAGGCTATAGCAGTGATCCGTCTTTTAATAACTTCACGTGCTGAGTCAAAAGACAATAACCATAATCGTTTCGGATGTAGTTGACGAAAAAAATAGCGGGGAGCCAAACCGAAGCATGACAATACTGCAATGATAATCCTGCGGCGCTAGTTGTCAAGGGTGATGGTACGAGGTAATTGTAAGAGCGAATAGAGCAAGATAATTGTAAGTGCGAATAGAGCAAAAGACAACTGAAAGCGATGGAGATGGGCCTGGACCTGTTGGAACTGTTGTTCATTCATACAACCAAGACGTCTAAAAGAATCAAGACAAAAATACATGCACAAAACTTAAAAAGACCCACGAATGATGTTTGCAAACTGACGATGAATTATTCCCCCGCTATGAGCGCCAATAACATTGACGTCGACATGCAGCATCCCGAGTTTCAGCAAGAAGACGTACAAATGTCTCATGACGCGGATTTATTTGGTGGCGATGAAGACGATGAAGACGATGATAAGGGTCCTGGCGACTTCATGGATGTTCTCAGTCAGCCTCCCACCAGTGTACCGCGATTCGACATCAGTCAGCCTCCCACCAGTGTACCGCGACTCGACATCAGTCAGCCTCCCACTAGTGTACCGCAATTCGACATCAGTCAGCCTCCCACCAGTGTACCGCGACTCGAGCGACTCGAAAAGAGGGCCAGAGAGGAAGTGGTATGTAGATAGTACGAATCAGCTTCCATGACTCATGATACCCATCCAGATATCTGGGAAGCGTCGCATTCAGGAAGTCGACTATTCGCAGGTACTTCGCCAGACTGTGTATGAACAACAAGAACGTATTAACAACATTATAGAGGAAACTGAAGTGGTACGCACGAGAAGCTCATTGGGGATACACTGCTGATCATACCGGCAGATACGCCGAGAAGCTCAAGACCACATTGAGGAGCAACGACGTCTTGCAGAAGAAGAGCATGAGCGCCACACGCGCGATTTCAACGAGCGATGGGAAAAGGCTCTGAGAGAGCGAGAGCGGGAAAAGCAAGTAAGTGCAACAGATGCATTCAGTCAGATGCATGCTTACAAGTTAATAGGAAATTCACATATGGCAAGAGCAGCAGCAAGCACTGCTGAGGAAGAACGTTGCTGAAGAACTAGCACGGCACGAAGCAAAAATAAGTGCAAAAAAAGACCAAGAGGTGAGAAAGAACGACTGACCAAGGAATTACTAATGATGGCAAGTAGTTGGCTGAAGAACTGGCACGACACAACGCAGATTTAGATACAAGAAAAAATCAAGAGGTGGGGAAGAACGACTGAGCACGGGAATCGCTAATGATGTCAAGCAGCTAGAAGAACGCGAGAGAGCCATTTTTGCCGAAATGGAGCGAAGGCTACAACTAGAAATAGAAAAAATGAGGGTAGAAAAAGAGAACGAGCTCGCTAACATGGAGCAGCGCTTTGCAAGACACGGTAGGCAACAGCATGCGGCCACGGAAATCGGCACAGACCCCACCCAAAGGAACGCTCAACAGCCACCCCACACGCCCCAGAAACCACAGCTCAAGACTCCGTGCCTCGAGACGATTAAAAAGATCAGGAAGGCACGTGGAACAACACACAAGATGCGTCTGGTATCTGTAGTAGAGGTAAGTACTAAGCAGTCGGAACTCGTTTTAAACTCACGTCATAGCAGGACGCTGACGAGCCTATGGAAACGCATCGAGAACGATCATCGTCAATTGAGCAAGAGCCACAGCGATTTCAGCCTGACGACGTCTACCCTATGTCTGCGATGGAAAATGCGATCTCCAAAGGCATAGAGGCGGCACTCAGACGCATCCTCGTCAATAAGGATATTTTGACATCCACGAAGCGTAGTCCTCGAAGGAAAAAGAAGCAGGATGATGAAATTAGGATAGAAAGGGCCGCAGATTTGAGCCACGAAAGAGACTTCCTTCTTGTGAGAGTTGAATTTTTGACGTATATGCTGATGCTAAGCATGAAGTAGGGTGAAATCCGGCGTCTCCTCAAAGATACCTTCAGTATATCTCAAGACGCAGATTTTATTGTGCACCAGCCGGCGGATCGTGAAGATGTGTACTCGTACGAGTACGAAGATGGCCCAGGCCCCAACACCCAGAATCTGGCCTTTGATCTCAAAAACGGATTTAACACCCCCTGGAATGCGAAAATTCTCGATATTCTCCTTGAAGAATTGAAAAAGAGGAGTGTAGAAGAGGAGTGGCCGTTCCGGAGGTCGGATGCCTATTATAAGGCAATACTCGAAGATCGCTACAAGCGGATGCGGATGGTCTGGAGAGCAGCCCAACCAAAGGTTACAGCAAAGGGCTGCTTGGAGACTGCGGAAGAAGTGGAGGAGAGGTTGATTGCAAAAAGAGGTGAAAATCTGAAGTCGGTTCGTCAAACAACTCGTCGGCGAAATGTATGTCCGCAGCATGATCTCAAGGCTCTTCGGATACTAATGCGTCTATAGAAATATCTCCGCAGAGCAAAAGTCCTGGAGCAAGTTATTGAGCTGAAGAAAGATGGCGAGGACGACGACCTACCAGCTTGGCAGTGGCTTCAAAAACTAGTCAAGACGCTGGGAGACGGGGGTATGAGTTCAGAAGAAAGTGATATCGAAAACGACGTCGAATGTGTGCTCCGGGTCAAGAACATGGCATGGCGTCGCGGGATAGAGCGAGAACTGAATATCATCGATAATCAGAGAGTCTTGGATGATGAAATTTTCGCGCCCCAGGGTTCCAAACCAATGAAGAGGATACGCGCATCGGGAAATTCGACGACTGTACGGAACCCGGTCACTGGATTACCCAAGGCCCTATACAACGGCAGATGGTTTGATGGTCTTACTGGAGGTCAGGTAGAAAGGTTGAATGTGTCAGATGAGACGTTCCGATGGATGAAAGTTGGTGTAGCATAGTAGCGTGTTGAATAGACGGTGTAAATGAACCGCAGGGAACGGAAGATAAGTCAATTCCCCCTCCACTGTATGTACGGTGGAGGGGATGACGCGTGTTGACGGCTGGCTGGATCGTTGCGAGAGCGAGTTAGCCATTGCCCACTCCACTGTATGTACGGTGGAGGGGATGACGTGTGTTGACGGCTGGACATGTTGGTTGATTAATGGTTGGATCTGTCAACAAATGGGCTTACCTGACTAACGGGCCAGCGTGATCTAAAGGATCAGCAGTAAGCGAAGGCGGATGACCCGGAGTTGATGGCTTGATCATTCCGCGAAAAAGGATGGAGTTGGCGAGGTGGTGGGTGGTAATGGAATAGGAGACACGACAGTACATACCGTCGTGCTCCGAAGATAGGAATGATGAACTCGATGAGCACGACAGTACATACTGTCGTGCTTCGAGGATGGGGACGATGAGATGGGGACGATGAGCAGCTCGAAAGTACAAAGGATGAACTCGATGAGCACGACAGTACATACTGTCGTGCTTCGAGGATGGGGACGATGAGCAGCTCGAAAGTACAAAGGATGAACTCGATGAGCACGACAGTACATACTGTCGTGCTCCGAGGATGGGGACGATGAGCAGAGTACAAAGTTCAAACTGTCAAGCAGTCAATGTCAATGTTATGTAACAATTTCCTAATATGGGTGTTTGTGATTGTTGGGCGCTTTCGTTGCCAAAGTTCTAAGTCCTGTGTTTGTGATTGTTGGGCGCTTTCGTCGCCAAAGTTCTAAGTCCTATGGAACTTAGTAACTATTACTCTAGGAGGTTCGACGGTTTGTACTGTCGAGCCTCCCATTCTCCTTGTCGACAATGACCCTTCCTCACCTTCTTCCAGGGCATGACTGTATGTACGGTCGTGCCCGGTGTTCTCTACTTTCATCGTCACCAGACGTCTCGTCGCAGCGACCTTTCACGACCTTCTCCAGGGCATGACTGTATGTACGGTCGTGCCCGTTCATCGCCACCGCCAACGTCCTAATTCTAAGTCAACATCCATCGCTTCCTGGTTCGACGTCCATGGCAGCCCTTCCCGCCCGGCGTTCTTTGCCAACGATCAGTCCACACCAAGCTCAGGTCGCCGCCAGCTCTCCCTGACAACAGAGTTATATCTTGTTTGGTAGTTCTTGTAATGAACGTCATATTTTCGTACAAGGCTTACTGCTGTCTTGTTATTTCATTACTGGAAATTGCGAGTTGTTTCTTTTATTGTTGTTGTTCGTCTGACTCAAAAGCTTGCCTACGCAGTCGTTTCTTGCTCTCCAATTCACTCCCATCAATTCATAGAAACGACGGTACATACTGTCGTTGCTATTTGCCCCGCTCTTCATGCCTGTGTCTCGCTCACTGTTCAAACGGTGCTTCTGTGAGGAATGCATCGAAACCGGTGATCGTGCTGAGGATGGCACCCCTAAGGGGGTACTCATTGCAGAACGTCTTATGGCTGCACATTTACAACGCACCAAACGTACCCAAGCAGAACGTGCTGCTGCTGGCTCTCCCCGCACGAACGCCATCACGGATTTGTTAGTCTCACAGCTGGACGCACTCGCTCTTATCGACAACAAACCGCCTGTTTCTCACCCCAACCCCACTCCACCATTATCTATTACGGCTCTCGCGGATGATCTTGAGCAACTCACTTTGCTAGATCATTTTGTTGCCCATGAACCCAGAGTCGCTATTTCTGGCGACGTCTCCCAAAAGAACATACATCGGCCAACTGTGAAGGCCTTGAGGGTCCTCGATAACATAGAGTTCCGCGTTCAGCGGTGCTTTCGGTTGTTACTTGCGGGTAATTCCAATGATGTTGGTCGCGAGCTACTATTGCTTCGCACAGCTGTGGAGTCCGTCAAACGAAAAGCAGACCTTGTGGTCACACGGAAGAGGGCAATTATGTTGGAGATAGATGGCTTAGAAGCTCAGTTCAACAGTCAAAAGCCTCCCGAAATGGACTTACGTGCAGCAGTCGAATTTGATACCAGTAAGAGTCGATTATCTTCATCGTGATCGTGTCCTGAATAGTCAATAGATGTTCACCATGATTTTCCGCTGGATCAGTGTGATGAAATCGCACAGGTCGCCTTATTCATCACTGTGACGTGTAAAGTCATCATGGGGGTCAGCAAGCGAGCCTGCGATTTCCTCTTGGGACTTATTTCAATCATGTTATTCCTCGCTTTCCGGAGATCGGATGGTAGCCTCAGCTCTTCCCATCAAAATGTGCTCAGGCAAATTCCAAAGAGTTTCGACACCGCGCTCTCAAGATTCCATCTCACTGAGAAAACTGTCGTCTATGCAGTCTGCCCCAGTTGTCACTGCACTTACAGCCCACATCATGCAGACGGCTCAACTATTCCTACATATCCTGAACGTTGCACACACCACCCCACGCCAGAGGCCGAATGTGGCGAGTCGTTGCTCAGCCCTGGCCCTGATGGAGTAGTGCGACCGAAGAAGACATTCGTTTACCACGATTTTAAAGACTACCTCGCCGGTCTCCTCTCCCGTGCAGATATTGAGGGGGCGATGGATCAAGCCTGCGACGATTTGCAAGACTCTATCAATTCCCCCCATCCGCCTTTGATGAAACACGCATTCGAGGCTCAGTTTCTCCGTCAATTTTGTGGCCCAGACCCAGGTTCACTTTTTATTGATAGAGGAGATGAAGGGCGCTATGCTTTCGCCCTTTTCGTGGACTTCTTCAATCCGGAGGGCATTAATTTGCGTGGTGCCAACAAATCCTCTGGCATCATCTCTATGGCATGCTTGAATCTACCATTGGATATCAGGTATAAGCCCGAAAACATGTATCTTGCAGGAATCATCCCAGGTCCGAAACAGCCGTCCCTCGAGCATCTCAATCACTACATCCAGCCACTTATTGATGACATGGTAGACTCATGGGAGCGCGGCATCAATTTTTCCAAGACTGCTTGTTTTCCCACTGGCCGGCTCGCTCGCAGCGCTATTGTTTTGGCAGTTTGTGATCTTCCTGCCGCTCGTCATCTTGCTTCTTTAGCTGGAACCAGTAGCCATTTTTATTGTAGCGCGTGCAATTGCTACCATAAGACCACGTACGGTAGAGTGGACTTCGAAAGCTGGAAACCTCGTGATAAAGATGAACTCCGGAAGTTCGCTGAGCGGTGGAGGGACGCTGCGACAACCTCCGAACGAGAGAAACTATTCAAAGCTCACGGTGTGCGCTATTCAGAGATGTGGCGTTTGCCATACTGGGATCCCTCACGCCAGCTTGTTGTCGACCCGATGCATTGTATATTGGAAGGTTTAGTCCAGCATCACTCACGTACCCTTCTCGGTTTGACTACAGCAACCACTTCATCTTCATCGACTTTACCCCCTCCGGCCTTTTCATGCGACTTAGGCGATATGCCTCCGGGGATGACTTCGAAGGAAATGACTCAGGTCGCTGCTATACGCACCCTTCTTGTTTCCCAGTTGTCGTCCGATGACGAAAATCTGGATAACCTAAAAAAATCGCTGTTTCGCAAGAATACGGGACCTCTCAAGTTTGTTTGCGAGGCCTTGCGATGCGCTCCCCAGAAATCTAGTAGATTGTTCAAAATCGACTACGTCAAAGCTCTCGTGGAATGGGTAAGTTCTTAATATGTCTACTTTGTTGCGACTTTTTTATGTTTGTTCTCAGCGCTGTGGAAAACCTTTTGCTGCTCCTGAGAAGGAGCTTCAGCTTGGTTCTCTAGATGCCCTTCATCGTGTCCGAGATGTCATCCAACAAATAACCATTCCATCTTGGTTTACTTCAGTCCCAAGCGATTTCGGAAGCGCATCTGCTGGGACGATGAAAGCAGACGAATGGCGCTCTCTAATCACCGTCTACATTCCTATTGCCCTCGTGAGCTTGTGGGGGGCCGGTACCTCGCATCCTTCCGATGAAGTCGGCACTCACCTTAGAGCTGTTCTCGACCATACTATGGAACTTGTTTGCGCGGTGTATCTCACGTGCGCCCGAACAACGACTGTAGAGAGAGCACACGCGTATCGCATCTCACATTGCGCTTTATGTTGGAAATTTGAAGAAGATATACCCTAACATCGCTCTGCATCCAAATCACCACGCTGCCTTCCACATATACGACTTTCTACTCCTATTTGGCCCGGCCCACTCTTGGTGGTGCTTTCCTTTCGAACGTTTGATTGGAATACTTCAGCGTCTTCCAGTAAATCATAAGACTGGTGAGTTTTTACGGAACACCAGTGTAATAGCGGGACTGACTTTTCAAGGCGAGTCGGAAACTACCATGTTATACTCGTTCATCAAAACTTCAAAACTTCACCGTTGGCTCAGTCGAACCTGACTGTTCGCCGGCTATTCAAGAGTGCAAATTTCTGTTTGACAGCACGTATGCTCCCAAGAGCGCTGGAACTCTCGGTGAAGAACGTGCTGAAGATCCTTTGGACGACAGTTTACAGGCTCCTTCCTCCGCTGTAGCTGTGGCTGTTCCTGAAGCCTTGTTTGCGCTTATCAAACGACGCACAGCAATATTACGCGCACGACTAAAATTCAACGGGATTGTCTATAGCAGAGCCTCTACTCACGTCGGGAATAGTCAAGTTTTTTATTATTCTCAGGGTGACCGCTTATCGTCTCCTGTCCCCGGCAGTATCCAACATATCTATGCTACACCCACGGGTGAACTGGTGTTTGCTGTCCACAAGCTCCTCCCGCGTCACGATCAGTCCATTGATCCATTTGCTATGTATCCTCATTTTCCCGCCAAAA